CTGACAATGAGGAAGATTAGACTGAAAGAAAAACTGTGCTTGTTAGGGAAACCACAGGTGACCTTTCTGCCTAGGTGATCATACCTGGCCTAATTGTTGGTTAAGGAAACGCAGTTGGTGGAGCTCCCACGGTGCTGCTTAAGTGACCCCAAGAGGTTTGGGTAAAGGAAATCATCGAGAAGGAAGGGGGTGATCTGCTTTCCCTGCTGATGTGTAGGGTGGCAAGTGGCTGAATGTTGTTCTGGCTTGGGAAGCAGATCTGATGTCAAGATGAGACAAGCCTGAAAGTTGCCATCTAGTTGGCTTGCTGTGCTTGAGGAGGACAGGGGGAGCTGACAGCACTGGTGGTAGTTCATTTGCAACGAAAAGTCCTTAGACTTGTGCAGTTGGCAGAAGTCTCCCATATTCTTTTGTTTTCCTGTTGGCACTGTTTTGTTTGACTTGTATGTAAATGCATAGGACAAATTCTGGCCCTGATGAGAGAATGACTGTTTTGTGTAGACACTGACCATTGATGAGACTTTTGTCCTTGATAGGTGATACCGAATCCCGCTTAGTGCCTTTTGTGCTGACTTCTCAGTCTTCTGTGAATGCATTTTAAAGTTAGGTTCTCATGGCCATTTCTGTTTGTTGGTTTGTGCGTGCTTTACTTAGTGTGAGAAAATACTGTGTATTTCATTAGAGAAGAGTCGTTTTGTGCATGGCGTGACCCAGACATGCCATTAGTGGTGGACATTTGTGCACGTGGGCTAAGAGGACATTCTGCACAGAGATAAAGGGTTCTCTTGGTTGGATGAGGTAGTGTCAACTTGCAGAGAGGTTTTAAAATGAAATTAGTGGTTTGTTGTTAAAGAAGAGAAGAAAGACCATTAAATTTATCAGTGCACCAAATAAAACCAAGAGGCACAACAGATTTCCTAGGAGCTTAGTACATCAGTTCTGTACAGCATGTCCCCAGCTGGTTTTCTAGCTGCAGACACATGAATGTGCCATTACTGTGTTCCTTTTGTATGTGTGGCTACACTTGTGTATCCTGGAGCTTTGCACTGTGCTCCTCTGGCTTCACAGCAGCAGTAACACAAACAAAATGTACTTCCTATTATTGACTTCCTTTCCTTTCTGACTTGAGAGAAGCAATGGCACTAATAGCTTATTTTATGATTCTGTCCTGTCTACCCTGATTATACCAGTACTCCTCCTTGAGTCAAACCAAGGTGAAGCTTTCCAAATCCCCATTTTCCCTGCAGGTGGCAGGAGACCATTGCTTACTCTGTCCTTGGACCAAGATTAGTAAGACCTGTTGGACAACTCAGCATGGGTTTTTTTCCCAGCCTAGCTATGATGGCACCTTATATTGCTGATTTTCTGAATTTGTTTGCCAGCAGTTCTTAGCACAGATACTATTTTCATTCATATCTGCATTCTGTTAAATGAGTAGCAATGTATCTTGGATACCAGGTACATGCAACTAGGTTCTTTACTCCAGTGTATTCCAGCTGCAAGGGCATACTTAAAGCTACTGGCAGTGTGTAAGCTAGAAGAAAGTTGCATGACACCCACTTTATCTCTGGTGGCCACCCGACTTGGTGTCTTGTTTACCACTTCATGTAGGGATAATAAAATGAGAAGCTGCTGTGCTGATTGAAGGAGATAACTAGCTCCCTGTGTCCAGTGAGCTCAGGTATTCTCCAACCTGGATCAAGAGACTCAGGTTTGAATCAACTTGGAAACCTTTGTAGTTGAAATGATGTGTCTTTCTGTTTTTATGCTTGAGAGGCTGTGTGACTTGTGGTATGCTTTACAGATGGGAAGGAGTTGTGGACTGAGGCAGAAATAGCTTGGGTAGATGAACCCACAGGTTCAGCTTTGTGTTGATGTTTTTTTGGTGGCATAAAGAGACTGGTTTTCTAAGATGCTGAAGAGAGATCTTGTAGATTCCTAAATATTTATAAGTTTTTGTGAAATTTCTCTGCTGTATGGGGAGTAGCCACACACCTTCCACAGCCAGGTCACGCTGGAACAGAGTTTCAAGCAGGCATTTGTAGCACATCTTGGATATGTACTGTGAAATAACTAAATTATCAAGGAAATTGCTCGGTCTGTGATTTTTAATACACAGAGATTTATGAGTTTAGAAACCTGAAGCTTTATCTGGGAAGAGAATGAGAACTTATGCCCTGGGGGCTGCAACACTGTTCACTCAAGCAGAGGAAAGAGGAAAATAGCAGAGTGGGTGGGATATTCCTTGTGGGTGAGGAAAAGACAGTGAAAATCTGACTGCTTCTGCAGTGCAATCAAAGAGCTCTGCACAGACTTACTGGTTGATTTTCATATGCGTTAGAAAGCTTAGTGGAAGTGTGCAAAGACAGCCAGATCTGTATGATTGTTGGGATGGATGGATGGAAATAAGACATCTGAGGAGGCAGGTGGATGAGAGGGGACTAAGGAGGAAGTGACAGCTGATGCTGTGGTATGGCAGGCAGGAGGAGCACATTACTTATGTCCCCAGAAGAGGTGACTGTCTTAACAGACAGCTGCTGTGGTGAGCCTGGGTCTGTTCATGTCTTTCTCACTCCTTTATGTAATCTGTGTTCTGAATGAGTAGATACTGACTGTGTAGGCTCTCTGGCGTTTCTTCTGGCATATGTCCTGTTTTTTGTGGTCTGCATCAATCCTTGCTGTTAAATGTTAATTTTTTTTATCTCAATCCTGACAGTAAACTGTAATTTAGTGGATATTGCTGCTGAAACTGAAATCCCTTATGAGGATATTGGTTTTTTGAATACCTAAAACAACAATGGCAAAAAGAAAAAAATCTAGTATGCTTTGTGGTCCAAGAACTTTCAAAGTGGTTTTTTTGGTGGGGTTTTTTGTGTTGTTTTTTTTTTAAGGCTTGACTACTATGAATAGCCCTTTAAATCTCAGCAAAATCAGTCTGAGAATAGCATGTGGCATTTTGTTGGGTTTGAAGACTTGTAATGCTACCTGGTCATAGGATGGTTTGGTTTAGAAGTGACCTTAAAGATCTAGTTCCAACCCCCCTGCCATGGGCAGGGACACCTTCCACTAGGACCGGGTTGCTCAAAACCCCATCCAATTGGGCCTTGACCTGGTTCCCTGCAAAAGTCCCTCTCCATCTTTCTTGTAGGCTGTCTTTAGGTACTGGAATATGCTATAAGCTCTCTCTGGAGCCTTCTCCAGGCTGAATAACCCCAACTCTCTCAGCCTGTCTTCATAGGAGAGGTGCTCCAGCCCTCTGATCATCTTCATGGCCTCCTCTGAACCTGCTACAACAGGTCATTGTCTTCCCTGTACTGAGGACACCAGTTGAATGTAGTACTCCAGGTGGGATCTCATGAGAGCAGAGTAGAGGGGAGAGTCACTTACCTCTACCTGCTAGTCGTGTTTGTTTTGATGCAGCCCAGGACATGGTTGGCTTTCCACACTGCAAGTGCACGTTGTCAGGTCATAGAATCATGGAACATCAGGAGCTGGAAGGATCATAGAAGTCCAGCTCCTGGCCCTGCACAGGAGACAGCCCCAAGAGTCACACCATGTGCCTGAGCGTTGTCCAAGTGCTTCTTGATCTCTGTCAGGCTTGGTGCTGTGACCACTTTCCTGGGGAGCTGTTCCAGTGCCCAGCCACCATTTGGGTAAAGAACCTTTTCCCAATATCTAACCTAAGCCTTCCTTGTGGCACAGCTTCAGGCCATTCCCTTGGTTTCTGTCATTGGGTGCCCCAGAGAAGAGATCAGTGCCTGCCCTTCTGTTTCCCCTCATGAGGAAGTTGCAGACTGCTATGAGATCTCCCCTCAGTCTCCTCTTCTCCAGGCTGAATAGGCCAAGTGACCTCAGCCGCACCTTGTATGGCTTCCCCTCTAAGCCCTTCACCATCTTCTTAGCCCTCCTTTGGGCACTCTCTAATAGCTTTATATCCTTCTTATATTGTGGTGCCCCAAACTGCACACAGAGGTCGAGGTGAGGCTGCACCAGAGTAGAGCAGGACAATCACCTCCTCTGACCAGCTGGTGACATTGTGCCTGATGCACCCCCAGGACACAGTTGGCCCTTGTGGCTGCCAGGGCACACTGCTGACTCATACTCAACTTGCCATTTACCAGAATTCTTAGGTCCCTTTTCACCACACTGCTCTCTAGCACCTCATTCCTTAGTCTGTATGTACATCCAGGGCTACCCCATCCCAGGTGCAGAATCTGGTGCTTGTTTTCCTTAAACTTCATACAGTTGGTATGACCCAGCCTTAGGTCACATTGAGCTTCTCATAAATCAACACCTCAAAGTCCTTATTCTCTGGTCTGCTCTCAATCCATTCTCCACCCAGCCTGTATTTGTGTTTGGGGTTGCCCTGACCGATGTGCAGGACCTTGCACTTGACCTTGCTGAACTTCATGACGTTTGCATAGGCTGACATTTCGAGCCTGTCAAGGTATTTCTGGATGGCATCCCTTCCCTCCAGCAATGTTGACTGCACCACACAGCTTGATATTGTCAGCTAACTTGCTGAGGGTGCACTCGATCCTGCTGTCCATGTGGCAGAGATGCCTCTCTCAGTGGACAGAGGTGTTAAACAACGCTGGTCCCAATACTGGTGTCTGAGGAATGCCAGCTGTCACTGATCGTGGACACAGCCATTGACCTCAACTCTTCGAGTGCAACAATGCTTAATGTTCCTTAGGAATAGCACACAGATTCTTAGCTGTTCCATGGATCCTATGGGCCTGGTGAAACCTATGGAGGCAGGATGTGTTTTGTTTCATTTTGAACCTGGTAGTTTTCATGCGGTCATATAATGAAAGGAGATTGAGGATGTGGTGAAGCCTTTAACCTCAACAGTGATACCTTTATAGCATCTCTCCTGGGTTTGATGTCTGGTGATGCTCTTGCGTCTTACACCTGTCACGTGTTTCTGCTTGCTGGATTTGTCCATAACAGTGGAGAGATCTAACTATTTTCTCTCCTTTTTTTTTTGCTTTCCCAGGGGACCTAGCAAACAATAGGCTAAAGGGAGCAGCACTGCAGGACAGCTGTGCTCAACAAAGAGGAAGAAACTGCTGTGCTCAGGTCCTAACTGTTCAGCAGTGATTCTATGATGCAAGTTCCAGGAGTTCCTCTTTCTGTGGTAATCATCTCTATGGCCTCTTCTTGCTGATGTTTGCCCCAGTTTTGGGCACAAAGAGGAAGGATGCTGAAGAATGGGTACCCTCCTTTCGGCTTTTAGAACATGGGCACTTGTGTGAAGGTATGTGATTGTTCTTTGGTTGGAGGGATGGACTGTCTGTGGAGGCCAGCAAAGGGGATTTGCTGGGCTGAAAAGTCATGGCTATTGTTAGGGGAAATACCTCATTTAAGCTTTCTGCATGCTGATGTCTGTTGCTGCTGCTGTCGAGATGACTGATGAATAACTCCCCTTTTGTGTTTGTTTAAAAAAAAAAAGAAAAAGCAGCTTGAATGCACAATGTAGCTTCTCACTAACTGAATGGTGACATGATGAGCTATATTGTATGCATTACTGTTTGCCAAATTCTTTGTCTAATTGTCATGCATGTTCCTTGCTGCTGCTCTTCTTCCGTCTGTCAGCTAAGTCTTACCAGCCAAACAGCATGTTGTTGTTCTGGGTGTGGTCTTTTTTACTACATGTTTGTTTAGCCATCCCCTCAGTGAGAACTTCATTCTAGATTGTGTCTCTAAAAATTGCTGTAATCTTAACGGTGTATAAACACAAGGTTTTAGCTTTTGTGCTGATGAGTGAGGGTTTCAGCAGAGGGGCTCCACTTTCCAGAAGTACATAGGAAAATACAGATGCACTATTTTCCAGTTGCATTCATAAGTTGTGTGGTAGAGTTAGTTACAGGGCAAAAATTGGATTCAGCTCTGCCCTAGGAGGATTTTGTTTGTTCTGAACAAATGGTCTTGTCTGCAACTCTTTTATTCCGTAGCTTTTGCTTCTAAGGTTGCTGGTTGAGGGTCAGCTTCTGTCCATGGTGGTGGTGGCAGCTCTGTGATGAGCTTTCATACAAACTAGAAGTTAAATTTGTGACTTTCAAGTAGGTGTGAGTTTGGATGAGTGGATTTTGGCCACTGCTGTTGATATTTGTGCTCCAGCAAAAAGTAGCTCCTTCCTGCAGTACCCAGAGCCCATTCTCACTGTTTTCAGAGGATAATATGTTGTCCTTCATATAGATCCCTGAATCTGCATGGGAATCTGTGACAGAGGGAGAGCTGTTGATTGCAGCATGCTGTGCTGTTTGCATATTTCACAGTCTTCTGGACTAATGCTTTAGGGATGTCCTTGGTGAGGAAGACAGATGATCAATAGACATTTTTCTGAGAAATCATAGATTAAATTTAGGCCAATATGTGTGAGGAAGAGTCACTGGACTGCGCTTGGCCTATTTTGTGTTCTAGATGCAGCTGTGATCTTCGGCTGTGTGTCTCACCGAAGGGACCTGATGTTTTACATTATTGGTAAGTGAAGGAAAGGCTGCCACTGTTTTTGTTGACCTCTCCATAGGCTTTAGAAGAGTTTCTTGAAAGTCTTTGATTTAATGTTAGTTCAGAGTCTACCTAACAAACATGAAGTTACTGTCACCCCACACACCCCACCCCACCCCACCTGGCAGATGTGCCTCTCCACCAGTCTTATTGTTCCTAAAGTCCTTTCATTTACCTAATTCCTAAGCCATCTCCTTACTTTTTCTTTCGAGAGCTAGTGGAGGATTGTTGCCTCTGTGATGCTTCTTAATCCAGCCTTAATGTGATGTGCAGGGGTTGTGTGGTTATATAACTGTTTCCCTTAAAGGAATCGCTCTAGTTCTAATTTGCAACTCGAAGGGAATTCCATGCTTCTATTGGGATGTCTGCTAGCCTTACCTGAGACTCTTTATCGCCTTTACCTATTTCCTCTGTTTGCAGTCATTTGCAGAGTTTTAAGGGACTTGTTATTCTCTAACCTTACTTGTAGCATAACACAAACCATAAATGTTCACACAATAGCTTCTGCCTTAAACACCAAATCTGCAGTTGAGTAGAATGTTATTAACAAAAGGCATCTTGGGCTGATGCAGGAGGAATTTAAGTGCGTAAAGCCATATCAACCACCCTTTTGTTTTCTCCTTGCTGCAGGTGGGATCACAGTATCTGTTGTAGCTTTCTTCTTCACCATTAAGTTCCTCTTTGAGCTTGCCGCACGTATAGTCAGCTTCCTTCAGCATGAGGACCGGGAACGCCGAGGGGAGCGAACTATTTATGACTACGTGCGAGGCAACTACCTGGATCCCCGGTCCTGCAAAATCTCCTGGGATTGGAAGGACCCCTACGAGGTGGGCCATAGCATGGCCTTCCGAGTGCATGTAAGGCAATATTTCTGTTTCCATGCAGCTTTGGGGGCAGGAACAGAGGTCTGAGTTAGGGATGGGCTCCTCAAATGTTTTCTGCTGGGGCGAAGCTGAATGTAACTTGGGAGCAGGAAAGCTATCTGTTTATGCCTTCTGCCCCCTGTTACTGTGTTGCAGAAAGCTAAGTGCATATTTGAGGTTTGCGCTTCTTCAAATCTTATCTCCCTCTCTTTAGAGTCCTTTGAAGAGCTGAAGGAGACCAGGCTTCTGCTGACTACTGCTTCCTCTACTGGGAAGTGAGTGGGCTGAGCCTTGCCTTCAGCAGACTTGGTGCTATCTTTTGGTTGTGCAGCTGAAGATGAGAGCGTGGGAACAGGCATTTTACCAACTCAAGAGCTGTAAAACTTCATGGCCACTCCCCATTCCTCCAAAATGGAGTGTTATTCTATCTAACCGGGGAAAGTCTGCCAAGGACTCTTGTTTCCCTCCAATCCCAAAAGGCCAAGTCTAGGGGAATGGGACAAGTATACAAATAAGATGGGTGAGGGGTGTGACACAGAGTTTGGAGCTACATGGAGAATGTTTGAACAGGTTTTGCTTGGCTCATGTGCCCATCTTTCTACCCCAACTTCCCTCCAGGAAGGTATTAAAATAAGAAGAAAGGTTCAGATAGGTTGCCATATCCATCCATCTTGGGAAGGTGAGGAAAACCTTTCTGTTTGGTGGTGAGTGAGGAATTCTAACTCCATGGCAGACAGTGAAAAAGAGCTGAAGGGAAAGGGACTTGTTCTGTTCCTGCTGTTTAAATTTATTCCCTTCACCTTACTGACACTTCCTCATGGCATCTCCAGCAATGTGCCCTTCCACTTCATGCTTGACTCCCATTTGCTTAGCCCTTTATTCATCAACAGTAGCTGTTGAATACACTGATTTCTCTCACTGACAGTCAAGATGCAAACTACCTCAGGCCCTATACCCTTCCTTACTTGGAAACAGGGAAGAGTAGTAACTTCTTGCTGACCGCAGGCTGATTGCAGATGGCAGGCAGGCTCTGGCACACAAGCTGTTGAAGAGCCATGCACATAGGATTTCATGGTGTAATTCGTTCCTTGTAAGGAAATATCGATCACTTCTGTGTTTGAGCTGCCTGTGATTTTTACCTAACATGTTTTCATGCTGATGCTTCTTAGCAGTGAAGACTGGGTCTGCTCCTTAGGCCAACAACTTCTTCGCACTGTTGTCTATAACAAACTGGTGAGAGCTTTTCCAGAGCTTAGCTGTACAAATGAACAATATCTGCTTATTTCTCTGAAAGGATGCGGTGCTACTTTTTTCCTTTTGCTAGTGGGTTCTCTTGATTTCTGCTCTGATATTGCACTAACAGTGCAGACAGGAAATGCCTAGGGGCATGTTCTTTTCAGGGCATGCATTTGAACCCCAGCACAAAAGAGAATGGGACTGTTCATTGCCCACTTGTGCCCTGTTCATTTTGGAGAACACAGCCTGTGTGACAGAGCTGTCTTTTAAATATTTTTCCTTTGCTGAGCTGCAGCTCTTGCCCTTCCCTAAGGCAACTTGCTTTCTCTTCCTCTGTGTACTGCATTTTTGTGCTGACCTGAACTTCTCTGTTTCTCATGCAGTTATTTTATAAAAATGGGCAACCCTTCCCTGCTCACCGGCCTGTGGGGCTGCGAGTTCACATCTGCCATGTGGAGTTAGCAATTGATATTCCTGTAACACAGGAAGTTCTTCAGGAGCCTAATTCCAATGTGGTGAAAGTGGCCTTCACTGTGCGCAGGGCTGGGAGATACGAGATCACTGTAAAACTTGGTGGCTTGAATGTGGCCTACAGCCCCTACTACAAGGTGTTCCAGCCAGGTAAGGTCTAAGGGGCCCTCTAATGATTCGAATTAGATTTGGAGGTCTTGGAGGCAGTTAGGTAAATGTGTTTTCAGCTAAAATAGGTAGGTGACAGGGAAAGGGTAATCTCTCACCATTTTCCTCCTACCATGTGTAGGTTCACCGATAGACCCATGAGTAAAACATACTTCTGACTATCAGTACATGGCAAAGCAGAACTGCCTTACAGAATAAGTCATTAGTGCTGCTTAAAACCCCTAACCACTTGTGTCTTGTTCTCCATTTTGTACGTTTTCATAATCCATCTAGTACTCAGAGAATGCCTTTTGTGAAAATATTGAGCTATTTATATCTAAATTAGAGATGCTGTCATAACTTGATTCTTTCTCTTTTGAGTACTCTATTCCTTTAAGCTCCTGGAGCAGTTGATACCTTTGACTATACACTGCTTTAAAAACATTTCCTTTTTATCCATTTTATTTGTGTTTATTTCTACTTTTGGGTTTTTTGACCCCAGTTGGCATCTTTTATATTTCATGTACATGTTCATTGAAAGTACCTCTATTGCATTGCATTGTGAATAGATACCAAGCTTGGTCAGATAGCCCTTCAAAAAGAGGAAGCTCAGGTTTAACTCAGATACACTTCAGGCTAATGTTTGTTTGGTGAGCTGCATTTGCAGGTTTCCTAAGGTGTCAGCTAGCTTGTATTTTGTATGTATAGTGGGAGCAAGCTGAAGGTTAGAATGGTGGAAGAAGCATTCTTTACAGGACTAGTAACTGGGTTTGCTTTATTAGTATTAAGTTTCTGGTGCAAGGCAAACGCTATGCTCTACACCATGTATTTCAGTGCTCAGATACTTTGTTTTTTGAATGTGATTAGATATGATCCGTTTTCAAGGGTATTGTGCCTCTAGTTGCTTTTCTTTTTGTAGCTTCACCTTGGAATTTGTTTGACATTAAACTGTTGTTGTCTGCTTCAGGAATGGTGGTTCCCTCCAAAACCAAAATTGTCTGCCATTTCTCCACTCTGGTGCTGACCTGTGGACAGCAGCACACTCTGCAGATAGCTCCTAGAGATGAGTATGACAATCCCACCAGCAACTCCGTGTCCTTGGTAGATGAGCACAATTACAGCCTCTCCATCCATGAGGTGAGTGCAACCTCATCCCTTGCTGCTTGACTTCAGGTGAGCTAGAGAGCTCCTACTATTAATTTGTTTTCTATTTAGCTGGGTCCTCAAGAAGAAGAGAGCTCTGATGTGGTGTTTGAGAAGTCTGTGGTGTCCAATCGGCAGACTTGTGAGGTGTTCTTCCGGCTCACCTTGCACTGTAGGGGGTGTTTCCATGCCTGCATCTCCTACCAGAACCAGCCCATAAGCAATGGTGATTTTGACATCATTGTTCTAAGTGGTGAGTCAAGAGCTACTCAGTATTTATTCTCCAACTGTCCTCTTACGATGTGCTTTGCACATTGATGTAGCAGAGCTAATTGTGGCTTCCCTGCAGGCTAGCCATGCTTCATTGCTCAAGGAAAACCTATTCAATTAAAAATGCTAAAGTAAATGAACTTGCTGCTAACAAGGGAGATCTCTTGAGGGTTGATTACTCTGTTCCGTTAGCAGATAAAGGCATGTGGTTTTCCCCTATTTCAGGAGGTTTACCTCTAAAATTAGGCAATTTTTTATTGCTAATTGTTGGCATCTGAGCCAGTCATGTATTGTATGTTAAGTTTTAGGGATGAAGAACACTGTATGCAACCTATGTGGGAATTTTTTTAATGTTATAATTCCTGGTTTCTTCAGGAGTGAAACAGACTTCAGTGTGGCTGTCAAGCAGCAATGTCTTCAGGCTGCTGCTCCAAGAGGGAGATTCTATACGCCTTTTTTTCTTCAACCAGTCACTGTTCGAAGCCAGGACAGACAAACTGCTATCTTGAAGTCTTTTCGTCCCACTCCTACGTTCTCTTTATCAAAGTTTCACTTGACCAAATTTTCCTTTGGATGTATAGCCTTTTCTTTAGAATCATAGTAACTGATTTGGTGGTGGTCATCTGTATATTTTTTTTCATTCTGGTCTCCAGTGGGATTTACACAACTTTTTTATATCTGTTTCCCTCAGAGAACGAAAAGAACATTGTAGAGCGCAATGTGTCCACCTCAGGTGTCAGTATTTATTTTGAAGCCTACCTTTATGATGCTCCTAGTTATACCAACACTCAGTGGCAATTTCCACCGATGCACTTGAGCTCCTCCCAGCGCCGTCCTTCTACTGCAGCTGAGGATGAAGATGAAGATTCTCCTTCTGACAGCCAGACCCCAGAGAAAGTCAAGAAACCCAAAAAAGTGTACTGCTATGTGTCACCTAAGGTAGATACCATAAAGTTACCACTCTTGACTACGTGTTTAAAGTATGCTGCAACCAAAGAGCTTCCTTGTGCCCTGTATCTTAGCTCCAGATTTAGGTGCCTCACATTTGGTTAAAAAAAGGTTTGCCTAAGGCAAACATGGAGCTCATGACTGAAAATAATGCTAAAATGCACCTTCAAGTTTTAGGACTGTGTCTTTTTAGGTCTGATCCGAATCCAAAGAATTTTCTCACTGATTGTTCAATAGATACTGTTTGTTTGCCTTTCCTTTTGCTCTGGTAAGGTCAGACCTGCAATTCCTATTTTCAGTTTCTGATACCTTTAAACTGGAACTTAAGAGAATCTCAGCTTCTCAGATTTTATGTCTTTGTCTGGTTTCTGGAATGTTTCAGGAACAAAAGGAGAGGAAAAAAATGGCCAGAGGACAAAGGGTAGGATAAGTAGAAGAAACATGAGTCAAGCAAGTCAAGAGAAACTCAGGATTTTCTAATAGTAAGAATATGTTAACAGTAACTATTACCCCTTATTATTGCCTAAGAGTGTTCAGGGAAGCTAGAAAGAAAAGTCGTCCAAATCTACAAATTAATTTAAATTCACATTGTTAATCTCCCTATTTGAAAACATTCTGAAAAATGCAGTGATAAGTATGAAAGTGAAAGACTGATACAGGAAGTGCTTTCCTGACAAAGAGAGAGAGAGGGCTGTGAAACGGTTACAGGATGGAGTGTGCTGCATGTGGCCCTAAGAACTGACTTTGGGAATGAGTGCTGTGTCCCCATGAGCCCAGCATCCCTTCATCCTTGGCGTATTGTTTTGGATTTTTGTACTCTTTTCTGTTGCGTTGGCTGGTAAAGGAGATAGAAGTGGGTACTGTTGCAAGCTCTCTTTAGGTGCCAAAGTTGTTAATGCAATTCTGATGCTTGCATAATGTATCCCTGGATATCTCTATATACAGAAATAGAAACAGTAGAAAACTGTTACTATGCTGTTATTTCTTTAAAGGGGTTGCCGCTCATATTTGCGTTGTTTCTGGAGACTTGCTGCTTGTCAGTTTTTTCAATCCTTGCAGCTAGAACAGGCTTGCGCAGGAAATGTTACTGTGTTTTGTCTAAAGATGCTAAAATTTCATCTTAGCTTGCTCTCCAGAAGGCAAGAGTCCACAGTCAGTTATTTGTTCTGGCAGAATTACACAGAGAAGATATTTTTGCAAATCTCATGGATTTAGCAGTTGCAAGTGCTTTTGAAAAGATGTTTGAAATGGTTGTGAAAATTAGGGAGTAATAACAGTGGTCTGTTAGCATGACTTTTACCAAAACCTTTTTGTCAGTGCATTACAATCTCATCCTGGATTCAGCTTCTCAAGTGTACTTAAGATTACTTTCCAATTAGACTGGTGATGTTCTGAACACAGTGGCTTACTGCTGTGAAATCTGTGTCACGCTGGCATCACTGTGTGCAGTTATGACACGTGTGGGAAGTCTTTCTGACAAGTTGCTTACAGTTCTATGGAGCTTTAAGGATTCTTATGTATTGTGCCAAGTGTTGCAGACACCTCTGCCCTTCAGCCCCAGGTTGCCTCTGGGGCTGAAGGGAGGTCTAGCCTCATGGATCTGTCCTGTGCCTCATGTGTTTCAAGGACAGTCCTTAACAGATGTGTGACCTTTAACATTTTCTTTTCCTTGCGGTTACTCAGCAATTCTCAGTGAAAGAATTTTACCTGAAGATCATTCCATGGCGCCTTTTCACCTTTAGAGTGTGTCCTGGCACAAAGGTGAGCCTCTTTCCGTGTACCTGTCTCTGGACCTCCACATTGTTAGCTTGTTGTCCTTGTGAATTACAAGTTTTTTTCCCTTTCAGAGAGAAGGGCTTCCACCCACCAATATTTTGTTGCCTAAAATTCAATTTTGGAATTCCCTCTCACTGCCTAAATTCTGCTAAAATTTATGTATAGGAGCCAGTTGTATCACTCCTTCCTGCCTTTTGTCCCAGTGCTAGGCAAAAATATTGATTCCTTTGCATTTTCTTGTTAATTTTCCTTGTAACCTTGCTAAAACACTGTGATTATGTCCACTGAAGCCTTTAGGTTAGCGTGTGAAGTTTGAAGCAGCCTCCTAACTGGAGTCTGGATGCTTGAAATAGTGTTCCTGTTAACTACATATGCATGGGTGAGCAGAGAAAATCTTAGAATACAGGCAGTGTGGCTCTGTCTACTGAACATACTGTGCCTTCTGCATGATGGGTTTACCCTTTCTTGCATCTTTTTGCTGCTAGTTTTCATACCTTGGTCCTGATCCTGTGCACAAATTACTGACACTGGTGGTGGATGATGGGATCCAACCCCCTGTGGAACTCAGCTGCAAGGAGAGGAACATCTTGGCAGCCACTTTCATTCGCTCTCTGCATAAAAACATAGGTAAAGGGGCGGTGAGGTGGGCACAGTAGTCAGGAAGTTAGTAGTTGAGTCTGGTAGTTTCCCTGGGCAATAAAGATTGCCAGCACCAAATGACTTGTGATGAGAACTCTGATTCCTGGAATCTCATGCTCTGTTCCTATTGATGTTTCCAGTGAATATACTTCATCAAAGCAACTGTTCATTTTGAGCTTGGCTTCTCTGTCAGGCTCTTTTTGAAAGTGCACCTGTGAGTACAAATATCAGCAAGACCTAGCTGCAGACTGCCTTGAGTTGGGTCTCCAAACCTTGCTGTAATAAATGGACCTTTGGGCTGTAAAGCTGACCTGTGCAGTTACTCTTAGGAATGCTTTCTAGGTGTTTGAGGTGTTGACAGCTCAAGCCTGACCCAAATTGTCACTATTCTCAGGAGGCTCTGAAACCTTCCAAGACAAGGTGAACTTCTTTCAGCGAGAGCTACGTCAGGTGCATATGAAAAGACCTCATTCCAAGGTCACGCTGAAGGTCAGCCGGCACTGTCTGCTGGACTCGGTGAGTGGATAAGTCGCTTTGCTTGAGGCCTGTGCTTCCTCCATTCTTTTACTTCTGCTCAGTGCCTAAAGAAATCCAAACTGGCATCCGCTAGGGTAGCCATGCTAAAAATGTGTAGTCCTTCTGTTTCAAGACAGATGCCAGCAGACAGCTTGAGATGGGAAAAAGGAAAAAAGAAATCTCAAGGTAGCTCCTCTGTGTTCTAGTTTGTTATTATGTGGAATGCTGTATTCCTTTTCTACAGCCAGTAAGTTCTGATCAATTTCTTACATAGTTAGGCAACTTCAACTCTGGTAAGTTTTTAAGGAACTTGTCACAGAGTAAATCAAGCCCTGAGAGATGTCTAAGGTAAGTTATAGCCTGAAGCTGCACCAGGGGAAGTTCAGATTGGACATCAGGAGGAATTTCTTCATGGAAAGGGTTGTTAAATATCAGAATGGATTGCTCAGGAAGATGGTGGAGTCATCATCCCTGGAGGTGTTCAAGAAATGATTGGACATGCCAGTTAGTGCCATGGTCTAGTTTACAAGGTGGTGATTGGTCAAAGGTTGGACTTGATGATCTTTGAGGTCTTTTCCAACCTGAATGATTCTGTGATTCCGTAAATGGATGCGTAGCCTCTAAAAGCAGGAAATCTGCTGATGCTAGTCTGTCCCCGCATTACATTGGAACCTGAGACCCTGAGAGAAACTGTCTTCCTGAGCCAGATTCGGGAGCAGAACATACTGCTCCTGAGTCTTTATATACTACTTTTCTGACACAGAGCCATTCAGTGAGATAAGCTGTCAATTCAGGTGTTACTGAGCTGATTACATGAAATTCTTGTGTCAACAGTAGTGGTTCAGAGTGATGATAAAACATTCTGTAGAGTCCTTGAGTTAAGTCTTCATCAACGCTGACCTGAGGTGTTGTTTCCAAAATTGAACTTAGTCAATTCATATAATGCAGTTCTTAACTGTCATTCTCAATACTGTGTACATAGGACAGGCAGTTACCCTGATTTACTGTTTCCACGTGGGTCTCACAGCAGTAATGGTATAAAGATGTGTAGCAGATTGACCCCAGGGTCAATGCACTTGCCAAAAGCAAGATGCCAGGCACTCGCCAAAAGCTATGCTCTCACTCCCCTCCACAAATAGATGGGGAGAGAAGATATATTGGAAGGTTCATGAGTCGAGATAAGGACAGGGAGAAATCACTCATCAAGTACCATCACAGGCAAAACTGACTCAACTTGGGGATATTAAATTATTTTGTTACTAACAAGATCAGACCAGGATAATGAGACAATAAAGCAGACCTTAAAAACATGTTCCCCCACCCCTCCCTTCTTCCCTACTCTACCTCCTCCTCCCAAGCAGCACAGGAGATGGGGAGTGGGGGCTACAGTCAGTTCATCACATGTTGTTTCTGCCACTGCTCTCAGGGAGAGGAATCCTTCCCTTGCCCCAGCGTGGGGTCCCTGCCACAGGAGACAGCTCTCTACAAACTTCTCCAATGTGAGTCCTTCCCATCAGCAACAGTTCTCCATGAACTGCTGCAGCATGTGTCACTCTTCACAGGGTGCAATCCAGCCCCTCAAGGGCAGTCTGCTCCCGTGCGGGTCCCCAACAGGATCACAAGTCCTACCAGGAGCTCTGCTCTGGTGTGGGTCTTCTCTCTCCATGGGTCCCCTGCCAGGAGCTTGCTCCAGCAAGGGCTTCCCATGGGGTTGCATCCTCCTTTGGTAATCCACCTGTTCCAGGGAGGGTCTCCTCCATGGGCTACAAGTGTATCTCTGTGCCCTGTTAATCTCCATGGGCTGCAGGGGCACAGCTGCTTCACCATGGTCTTCACCACAGGCCACCAGGTATCCCCAGCTCTGGTACCTGGAGTACCTCCTCCTCCTCCTCTACTGACTTGGTGTCTACATAGTTGTTCCTCTCACATATTCTCACTCCTCTCTTCTCTGGCTGCAGTTATTTCTGAGCAATAACTTTTTTTTCCTTTCTTAACTATGTTATTACAGAGGTGTTACTACCACCACTGATTGGCTTGGCCTTGCTGCAGTAGCAGGTCTGTTCTGGAGCTGCTGGCATTGGCTCTGCTGGACATGGGGAGGCTTCTAGCAGCTTCTCACAGAAGCCACCCCTGTAGCCCCACCACTGCCAAAATCTGACCATGCAAAACCACTACAAGATGGAAAGAAACATTTCTGAGGAAAGCAGGAGTGGCTGGGATTTCTCTGGATTTACACTCAGTAAATCTGTGTTTTGAAATATTTTCTGCACTTACCAGCTTGTAGTGTTTATGAGATTATGTTTCAGTTAATAGCTTGCTACAAAATTACTTCATTTCTAAACAGTATTTCCATGACTACTTTTCCCTGCTATTTTGGAAATTCCTGCACTGTCACGAGCATTGGTGTTACAGCCTAGTAAGACAAAATAAATCCAGTGCCATAATAATAAATATAAGCTTTACTGACCGAGGCTGATGGGCACAATGAATATGACCAATATGTTTAGCCTAGAGGTGTGACTAGCATGAGGCTCTAACCTATTTGAGGACAAGCTGAGCCAAAGCTACCTGTTTGACTGGGGACTGCTGTGTCCGTTTCCAAGTTTTCTTCAATTGGAATCTGGAATCAGGGCACAGGAAGTTCTAGACACTTGAGATGTTTTGTTACTTTTTTGCATCGTGACTTGCTGTAAGTATGAACCCAGTGATTCTCTTCTAGCTATTTTCTAGTGCTCTTTGAAACATTCCTTTTTTTAAATCTAACTCGTGGGCTGAGACTGCTTTACAAAAATTGCTCCTTCCCACAGGCATTTTACTACTTTAAACAGTACTGTACTGCAGCCTTGAGAGGAATACCTCTGTGCTGTTCTAAAACCTCTCACTGGTTTTAAGATGAGCTGTATTTTATGTGGCTAATGTGTCTCATAACACAAAAGGAGAAATTGGCTTCTGTGGCTTTGGACAAAGAATTAGATCCTAGGCATTCCTAATTCTCACTGTTATACTTTAGAGTAATAGACTATGTATTAGTATTAGTTTTTTGTGTTGCTTAAATTGCCCATTCCCATGTGCAGGACTGCATACTGGTTACAAGGTGCCAAGCAGTAATAGTTGCTGCTATTTTTTTATTCTTTCTTTTTTTTATTTTTTCAGTCTTTTAAAGCAACACGCAATTTTTCTGTTTCTGACTGGAGCAAAAACTTTGAAGTGATTTTCCAGGATGAAGAAGGTGAGTTATCCTGTGCCTATATGTGAGGAGGAAGTAAAAGGAATGATGGTGGAGTAGTTTGTCTGAAATTCTGGTTTCTTATAGTATGTCCATCCTTTGTGGCTTTCCAGCCCTTTCACTTCATAACAGATATTAGTAAATTATCCTGCTGGTGCTTTTCTCTACCTACTTCACATAGGGACCTGAAGCCCTATGTAAATGCCACCCTCCAAACCCCAACCCCAAAAAACCCCCCACAAAACAAACAAACAAACCCCCAAAAAAACCCTAAAATCAAATCAAGTAGGACTAGGTTTGGGAGCAGAACCTAGACTTCTGCAGTCCCTGTCTACTGCCTTTTTGCTATGGAGCTGTTCACAGCAATGAAGTCTCATGTCAGGTAATACTGAGCAGCATGCATGAAACTCTGGAATTGATGACCCATGGATGACCAAGCTTGTTTTGTCTTGTAGCTCTGGACTGGGGAGGTCCACGCAGAGAATGGTTTGAGCTCATCTGTAAGGCATTATTTGATACCACCAATCAACTGTTTACCCGCTTTAGTGATAACAACCAGGCCTTGGTGAGTCTGCAGTTCCTATGCAGAATGCACAGGAATGTGTGCATTGACATGCTGATGGTTAAACAGTGCTGCTATTAAGTGCTATGCAACCTTATCAATTCTTTAGCTGGCCTGCACAGTCACTTCCAGTACCTTTCTCAGAGCTTTGCTTAATGATCTTAACCCATTGAAGTGTCAAAGAACTGACTGGATGAACAGGAGAGTGTGGCCAGGCAGCAGGAAAGGCTGGATTTTTGGGCAAGAGTGGGTGGCACCAGAGTATCTAGAGGTTTGTTGGGTCTGAATATTTCAGAATCCATTTCTGCTGTCATGCAGCTTCTTGCCTGTGCATGTGAAATATTTTATATTCTTCCTAGGCAGGCTCAGGCATTTTATTTCTGTTCCTTGACTTTAAGGACATTACACTAAAGCTCCTGGGGCAGCCCGAGAGTTGCAGTGACTTGAACTGGTCCCATACTTGCTTTTTGTGCTAGTCTGTCTGGTACTTGGATATTTCATTTTGCTTCCTCTTTGCAGGTGCATCCAAATCCAGAGCGTCCCACGTATTTGCGACTCAAAGTGTATGAATTTGCAGGCCGCTTGGTAGGGAAGTGTCTTTATGAATCTTCTCTGGGAGGTGCTTACAAACAACTGGTTCGAGCTCGCTTCACCCGATCGTTCCTGGCTCAGATTATAGGGCTCCGTATGCATTACAAGGTAAAGCTTCCCAGGCTTGTCTGAAGCCTGTGTTGGTCTGGGGAGAGGTTGAATGTTGGTGTAGATCCAGAGTCCTGGTTAACAAGGTATAGGGTTTTTTTGTTCTTCCCTCCATGTTCCTGTCTTCTTATTCTTTCACACAGTATTTTGAAACGGATGACCCAGAATTCTATAAATCCAAAGTGTGTTTCATACTGAACAATGATGTGAGTGAGATGGATCTGGTTTTTGCTGAAGAGAAATATAGCAAAACAGGACAGCTGGAGAAGGTGAGGGGGGCAGTTCCTGAAGGTGGGGCAGTTTAACCCCTAATGCCTGTAGCAGTGGGAACTGAGAACTCTGCTATGTGCTTCAGAAAATTGAGCTTACTCTGGGCAGTAGCTCCTTGCTTGGGTTTATTCTGGTTGGGAGTTCAGGTTTGGGGAATGCTGCTGGTCACGCTCAGGTCAAGTGTTCTCCTGTTTTCAGGTGGTAGAACTGGTGGCAGGAGGGGCTCAAGTACCAGTGACCAATGAAAACAAAATCTTGTATCTAAATCTGCTTGCGCAGTACAGGCTGGCTAATCAGGTTAGAGAGGAGGTGGATCACTTTCTGAAAGGTAACATGCTGTCTGCTCCCTGCTCCTCTCTGCCTTGATGTCCCAGGACATAGCACATGCTGTTCTTCTCTCCTTTTCTCTTCCAGGCCTTAATGAATTAGTTCCTGAGAACCTCCTGGCTATTTTTGATGAGAATGAGCTTGAGGTAATTCCTACCTCCCTAAGCATCTCTACCTTTACTTCCCCTCCTCTCTGACAAATTAAGTGCTTTCTGGATCTGGAATAAAGCCAAAACATTTCTTCTCTAAACATTTTAAATGTTTGTAATTTGCACAGTAGCTATTGCCTTGTTTCCTGGGCTTCTGACTACAGTTTTTTGCTTTTCAGTTGCTTATGTGTGGTACTGGAGATATCAGTGTCTGTGACTTCAAGGCACATGCTGTAGTGGTAGGAGGATCTTGGCACTTCCGTGAGAAGGTAAGTCAAAGGGTTTCTCCCTCCTGCTTGTCAAAACCAGTTGTCCCAACTACAGCAGAAAACAGCTTAAACTGGGAACATATATCTTGGTTGGAAGTTAGGCTTTCAGAAGGACAGACTGAAAACTTCGGGGGTCAGGTAGGACTGTACGCATTAGGAAATAGTTTCCCCCTAGAGAGGTCCTTCAACCTGGCTGACTAGAGATGATGTTCAATCAGATACCAGCAGGTAAAAATTGGCAGCAGTGGTCTCTTTTCAAAAAACAATCCAACAAAGCACTAATTAAGAAGAGCTGAGCAGGGAATCAGGAGGAGTTGGTGGGAATATTGTTACTGAAGATGCTCCTGGTGATAGAGTTATCTCTAGAAGATGCTTGAAAAACATAATTGCAGCCAACATGTAGTTTTTGGAATTCAGTGTTGTGGTAGAGACTACTGATGTAGTAACCTAAATTTGTACCCTGTGATGGTACCTACCTGTGCAGGTATTCCTCAAAATAAAATCTCTGTGGGGAGGGCGGACACAGAAGCCTTTCTGCTTTAAGGGAAAGGAGTGGTGGGAGGTAGTAGCATGGGACATCTCTTAACTGATGAGAAACTACGTAATACTTGCCTCTATGTGTCGCCCTGGGAAAACAAACCAAACTATTAGCAGAGCACTAGCTTGCAAGGGCAATTGACTGATCTTCTTGCAAGTTGCTTATATGCTTACTGCATTTCCTTGGCTGTCCTGTCTTTACCTTTCCTGTTTCTTAACAGGTCATGAGGTGGTTTTGGACCGTTGTCTCCAGTTTCACGCAAGAAGAACTGGCCAGGCTTTTGCAGTTCACAACTGGTTCCTCCCAGCTGCCCCCAGGAGGATTTGCTGCACTGTGTCCATCTTTCCAGATCATTGCGGCTCCAACTCACAGTACTTTGCCGACAGCCCACACTTGGCAAGTAACCTGGGGTGGTAGGACTTTCTGTGCTTTTGGGAATGACACCAGCCAGTTGTGGTGAGCAAGCAGTGTATGTCATGTAATGTGTGTGTGCTTGTGTCAGCCCATCTGAAAGCAGCTGCTGGGGATGGTTCCTTCTTGGACTTAGTCTGAATGGAATTTTTATTTTGTTTTACAGTTTTAACCAGCTGTGCCTCCCTACTTATGACTCCTATGAAGAAGTGCACAAGATGCTGCAGCTAGCTATCAGCGAGGGTTGTGAGGGTTTTGGCATGCTGTGAGTTCCCCTTTCCAGGAGACTACTTAGCCTCTTGGCTCTTTGTGGCAAGACCCAGGTTCAGTCCTCTGCTTGTTCTCTTTACCTTCACATGGGCAATGGAGGCAGAGCAAAGACTCCATGTAAAGGAATTTGTCATCCAGAAGATGTCATGTGGCCTTTCTGTATCCCAAATATGTCATCAAGAGCTCATCTTTTCCCTTTTCCTCATTCTCCCTTTGGTTCAATGTGAAACGGCGAAAGGACTGTGGTGCATTCATCAAGGAGATATTTTACTTGATTTCCATGCACCCTGTACACCCATCCTTCTGTGAGAAGATGAAGTTCATAAGCCGAAGTTACAGTGAAGTGCAGGAGATCTGCTGAGCTGCCTTTATTGTAGCTCTCTAGGAGGAAGAGGGAAGACCAGCATGGAGCTCTGCTGGAAACCTGGCTCAAGGGAAGCCTTGGTAACTCCCCGTGTCTTGGCTCAGCTCCCCCAGTGATGCACCTTGATAGCTCATCTAACTATGACTCATGGAGGGGATAGAGTTGTCCATCCTTTCAGCGTCTGACCTAAAAGGGTTTCTGGTTCTCCCCCTCCATCTTGCTCTGGATGCTGCTGTTGCCTGTGCCACAGAGGAGAATGGGCAGTATCCACAGGAGGGAGTAGCCCAAAGGGGAGAACAATCTCATTGGAGCACAAGTGCTGGCCCTGACAGTGATCCTTTACTACCTCCACCAGGGTCCAGCAGCAGAAGCGTCCTTCTCCAGCAGTGGCTGGTAATGAGCCTCTGCAAATGAACTGGACGAGGAGTTCCTCTTCCACTGAATGTTTCTGACAGTTGATGTTGCACAGGAAGCTGTTCCATGCCCTTGTCTTCTTTTCCCTTCCTCAGGAGAGAGAGTATGGGCATGCGTGTGATCCCTCAATGCTGAGCACCAATGCCTATCCCACATTCACCTTCAGGGTATGTATGTTATGTAGTTACAGTGACAGATCAGTTAGCAGCTACAGTGTGCACTGGGCTTGCGTTGTTGTTGGGGTGATGGTACTGGGCAGAACGTGGTACCTCCACCCTGGCATCCCACAGGGTCTTGGCTTCTACCTCTATCATGCAGCAGCCTGAGGCTTCTCATTCTCTACTGCATTTCAGGCAGAGTGTCCAGAGGGGTGCTTGTTCCCGGAGAGTAGCTGGATTTCTGTCCTTCCAATCTTCCTACCTTCTTTCTTCGTCTCTCCTTTCCTCCTGTTCCATTCAGTGCTGCTGGCTTTCCAGCACAAAGTGTTAACTAGAACTTCAGTCAAGTGATCACTCAACAGCCTGCACCCACCATTGTCTGGCTTATGGGGAAAGGAGTGGGCAGACCAGCATAAGAAGTAAGCTTATGACTGGGGTCTGTTTTAGCTGGCAGTCCCTTCAGCCCTTCCCAGGCAAAAAAAAGGAAGAAGAGTCTGGGAATCTTGATGAGTTCTTCAGTGAAGGAAAAATTCAAGATGTTTGTTTTCAACAGTCCCTTAGACAGTTCAAGTCAAGAGTCAAAGGCCTGCAGGAATCTAAGTAGGAGAAATCTGCATTGCTACCACCTGCAACATAAGCTTTCACTGGATTATGGAAGTGCTGGATTTCTTCCAGAATGGAGTCTCAGACTGGCATCCCTGAGCTAATTTTAGAACACCGTATTGGATAAAAAGGCACATCAACCTCTTCAGTCCCCTTCTGCTGTCCTCAGGCTGATCCGGTCAGACTTGTGCACAGTATGGATGTTTTAAGTTAATTGCGTGTGCTTTTCAAGTATAGCTTAGTTCAATTGGCTGGGAATTTGGGGGAAGCATTCTACATCTAGAAAATGTTTTTAAGGCAGCACCTTAGTCATTCTTGGGCTGAGTATGCTACTTCTGTACAGAACAAAATAAGCCATTTTGGTGCCAAAAAGCAGCCAGCTGAACATTGAGACTACTCAGGGGGATTTCTTTGCCTTGTGAATTCATTCCCTCACTGGCACTGAGGTGCTGGGAGGCTATCAGCTTGAGAGTAGCCACTGTTGTGCTCTGACAGATCATCTTAGTAGTGGCTGTTCTCCCTTTTTTAGTGCAGGCTGTATTCTGCAAGGTTCTGACCTCCTTTGGGTGGGGACTATGGTACCATTTTATTTACACTGTAGATGGCTTCTGTGATCAGTAGAGCTACAGCTCCTGTGTTCTCCATGCCACCACTTCACTGCTTTCTCCAGGGACCGAGAGGAGGTGGTGGTGCTCAGCTTAACTCCAGTTTGTTGGGAGGTGTAGCTTGGTGTTTCCATGCTGCACCCTTGTCTTGCTGTCTCACCTGACTGAGGATGTTTTCAGCCCTGTAGCTATGGGCCTGCTCTGACAGTGACATCTTCCTCAGGGATCTTCTCCCTTTTTCTCTTGAGCTGGACTTTTTTTATTCTGAGGACGAAGTAGCTGGCCGTTGGGCAGTCTTCCTCTACTGGAAAGAGCTCCTGAATGCTTCTCATTGCATTGCAGCCAGCACCCCAAGCATCCCAGCAGCTGTGCAGATGCCAAGGACTTTTTTCTTAACATAAGCACGGTCAGAACTGTGATGGGTGCTCTTAGTCAACTAAATCCATCCCCACTGTTTACACAGGCCCCTAGCTGGTCCCATGTTCCATCACAATATTTCCAAACTTGTCTCTAGCTTTATACCCTTTCCCAGTACAGTCATTTTTAATGCTGCCCTTAGCAATGGCAATGGGGACTTTGGTCACCTATACTGTATGTTACTTCTGGCAGAGGCTTGTTACTTTTCTTTTTTACCCTTTATTCCCACTTAATAGAGGCCCTTCTGTGGAAATCCTTAGGATCCTGATTATCATCTCAGACAGGTTCCATGTTTCCTGAAGCAGCTTTGAGGTGCAGAGGGCCTGGCTTCAGCCTGCGCCTGCAGGCCACGTTGCATGTTTTTAGAAACCAGGAGCTGTGGATAATGCAGGTCAAATCCTAGTTCCCTCTGGTGAATTTCTGGCAGAGTTCAGCCAAAATTTTGAAGCCTGTGGTTGTAGTAGCTGATTTTGTAAATAGTTTGTATAATAAATAAAATATTTTAAAAATGCTACCTTCCCAGCTCAGCATTCTTTCCGGGCTTTACAGAGGGTATCAAGCTGGTTACTGCTGTCTGTGGGCAAGGGGTGTCTTCAGGTGTCTAGCAGAAGTCTGCTGCAGCAGGGAGAGGATGGTTTTTCACCTGCAGCCTTTCAGGATGCCTGAGTGAAGCCAGGACCTGTGAGCTTTTGGGAAGAGGCAAGGCTCTGGGCTGGGGCTTGCAGGCTACTGTGAGGCCTCACTGCAAATAGGCTGGAAAGTTGTCTGAAGCAGCTAGTAATGCCAGAAAGTATTTTAAGGACTCTTTTACATAAATTAATAATGCAGTTGGTGTGATTCCATTTTCATCCCACTCTGTATTACCTGACTCTTTGAGCTTCAGGTACTTGTACTACTTGTGCTTCACTGTACTGTTAAGAGGATTAGATGAAGCCAGAAGAAGAGGGTGGGCATTTGAGTCCTTTGCACCTTAAGGATTAAAATGACTTTAAAACTTGAGAAGACTTTGCAGAATGATTCTGTGTCCATTAGCGTTTCTGTCTGTAAAACTATGAAAATGCTGTTTCCTGAGCTGGATGAAGATTTAGCCTGTCATCAGCCAGCAGAGCATTGGCTGGCTACCTGTGTTCCACCATATATCTAGGCAGATGTTCTCACATATGAAACCATCATCTAGCCTTGATTCTGGTTTTCAGGCCATGAGCACTAGCTAAAGAGTGAGTAGTGCATGTGAGCCTCGGGGATTGCCTCTGTAACACTGTGTTGGGTGATTGTATCATTTACAAACTCCTGTGGCAGCAAAGTTGTCTTATGCTGGACTCTGAGATGAGGGAGGTTAGATAAAGCAGTGGTGAGCTTTAGAAAGAATACAGAAACTGAAGTTCCAGTGTCCCCTGGAAATTGCAGAGGTTGTGAGTCTAGAGCTGCTGAAGTTGGGGTCAGGGCACTAAAAGGTAGGTGACTTTGCCAGCAAACCTGGCATGAGCAAAACGATACATAGCAAGCCATGTGGACATGTCCTTACATGCTGTGACCAGTACAACTCATGGGAAGGGGGCCAAGTTGAGGCTGGAGTTTTCAGAAACTCTGTTTGGGTGTGAAGGAGAGAGCTCAGCATGCTGGATTACTGTAGCATGAAGTAAGTTCTAAAGTTTCTGCCTCTCTTTGCAGGATGCATGATATCATCTGGCTGCCCACATTGTCCGTCCTGATCACCAGTTTCTTGTGATGTCTTGGAGAGGGAGTGGTGACAATAATATGTTGCTGGCACCACAGCCTCCATTTAATCCTGGCACCTGGCATGGACTTGGGGCTGGGAGAGAAATCATGCCCATGCATTTCATGCTGGAATCCTACATGCCCAAGCTTATGTCTCCAGCAATAGCAGAGAGTTTATTGTTATCTTGGCATCCTTGATTCCATGCACAGCCACTAGCCCTGAGATGTATCAAGATGTGCTGCTTGGGAAACTGGATTTTTGTGCATTCAGTTCCTCTACCCAGCTTGCTTTGCCTCAATTGTAGAACTACAGAGAAGGAATTTCTTCAGATACCTAAATGAGAAAATGGGGAAATTATGCTTGGTTTGGATAAGATCTCTTCTTGATTTCATAGAGTTACGGCTGAGTTCATCAGCTGAACCAGGCTGTAACTCCTAGTTCCTGTAGTGAATTACTACATTTCATATGGTTTTGGCTGTTCTGCTACCATCTTGTGTCTGACTGACCTGGCACATCACCCCAGAAAGAGTTTGAACGTGTGATTATGGGACCTATAAAAGAAACACTTACGGGAAACAGCAAAGCCCCCAGAACCCCAGCCTGTCTTGGCATCAGCTGTATGGTGCAGAATCTGAGATTTTAGAATCTTTCTCTTAAACTCTTTGTTTGTTGTTTTTCATTGAATGCGTGAGAAACCCTAATCTCTGGTTTCCAGAGCATGAAACTTGATCGTAGGAGGGGAGGTGTTACTGCATGAATGTGTTCATTTTTAGACATAATTTGCTATAACTTTTTTCCCAGTAAAACAAAACAGCTGTAGCTGAAGTTCACCCAAAATTCCCAATTAGTCTTTTCCAGCTACCCTTCTGCAGGGATGGCGTGCTCCAAAGTGTGTTGAGGCATGGGCAGTTTCATGCAGGGTTGGAAGTGGGGAGTGAGGCTGAGAGCCAAGCTTCTCTGCCTTGGTATAGAGCTGCAATGAATACAGACAAGGGAAGTGGAGCTCTTGCACTGTATAAGGGATGGAGAGACTGGAATTGGCCTAAGGCTGCTCCAGAGTTTTCTCTGAGGCACATGAAGGCGAGAGTGAGTTTAGGTGGTTTTGAGGGCAGTGACTATGCAGTGGCCAAAACCAAATTCTTTTCTCCCCCTTGAGG